TCCCATATCTGAGCCCCTGGCAAGCAATAAGCCTCCCTAAACAGCAAGTCAGGTTGGCAGATGGGGGCCTCCATTCCCTGCAGGAGGGACTCTCCCACCACTTTCTCCTGTTGCTTCCTCTTGGTGCTGATTTGTGGTTCAGGCTTGGCTGGATCTGATGCCTACACAGACGTGGCTTTCTTTCCCTTGTCTTCTACCAGGGCACTGAACCTATTCCACAGTTGCAGATCTGTGGGTGGAGAAGGAGCTGTCCTCCTGTTACCAGAAGTCACAAGCTTCCATCCTTCCCCATCATGGGTTTCTTCATTTGCCCCACAACCTCCTTCTGTGCAGCTGAGGATTCAGGCTCTTGCCTCTGCAGGGTCTCTGTGAAGATCCTGTCACTCTTTTTTCATCTTTCCTGATGCTGCAAAGTCTGCTTATAATAATGCTTAATGGTTAAATTTTTGTAATAAATGTTCTCCCTTTGATCTTGATATCATGGTATGTGGATTTTTGTTTTGTTGTGGGCTCCAATTCTGAAAGTGAGAAAACTTTGATTTCTAATGAGAAGTTTTACTTTTTGAAAAATTATATGTTTAACATTGCTAATGCTTAGTATTAGTGTGTTAGCATTGCTCTTTCTCAGATTTCTTCTCAGCATGATGTGCCTCTCTTTCAGGTTATTTTCACAATCCTTTGTTACTTTGCCTCTTCCAAATGGAGTTTTATTTTTGAAGCTTGTTTCCCTGTTTTTCCACTTTGTATTATTCACAGCTCTTTGTAAAATAAAAACATTTGTGGGCATCATTATATGCTTACTCTTTTTCAGTTATGTATGGAATATGTGGAGGAACAGAGTGGAGATTGATTTTTAGATATTAGTCTTAATTGTTTCTGGTAATAACTTCATTCTATGTTTGCTATTTTTTTTTATCTGATTAGCTTGTGTGTGTAATCTTTATAATTAAACTGGAAAACAGGAATACCTCAAGGTGCATTGACTTGGTGAAAATGTAAGAGGTCTAAATTATCATGCTGTTATAAATTCCACTTTCTCCATATAAAGCAGAACAGCATTTAGAATAACCATGTAAAAGTGACTGTTGAAGCATGTTCAGAAGTGTAATAAACCATCATTTTGGTAGTAAATTCAAATTTGTAATCCATATGAAATATACAGGAAATAAGGTGTGCTATTTTAAAATTGGGCATACTCTTCCCTCCCCTTCGACATCCTCATGTATTGAAATTTCATAGGACATGACATGAAGATGAGAATGGAGTAGAAATGTTTTGGTAACATGTAACTGAATTTCCTGACTTTTGTGGATGAGGTTGCAATTCCTTTTTGTCTTGTCATAAGTTTCATCTCCTACTAATAATAATTGTATGCCTTTATCCTAAACCTGTTGCCTTTAAACATGAAGTATTTTATGTTTGTGTATATTCTTTTATTTTTCTTGAATTAGTAATTCAACTGGAAGGTGGGGTTTTTTTTTGTTTAAACTCTAAATGTTTGGTAGCTGCAGAGAACGCTTTTTGTTCTTGTTGCTTGTTGGGCAGGATAAAAGAACACCACAGAACGGTTGTCAGGAGTAGCACTAGTCCCCGAGAATTTGCTGAATATTAGTATGCTGTGGTTTAGTTATTCTTTATATTTTGGGAGCCACCACTGTTGTAACAAGTATCATATTCTCATATTCTATTATACTTGTTACCTAATAATAGTGTAGGTCACAAAACTGTACAAGTTGTAACTAGTTCTTCCACAGGTTAGTTGAATCTGACATGTAAACAAATCTTAAACTACATAAAATATATATTTTTGTCACTAATACCCTGTTAGTTTTCCAGCATGCTCTTATAGCCTTGCTACAACCATCAGGAGAACTGTTTTCTTAGTTAAAACCAAAGAAAGTCACCAGATTTTGGGGTTTTTTGACAACAGCTTATAAAGAAGTTGAGACTTATCTTTGGGATATTTTTTCAGTGCAAAAAACCATATAATTATGTTTTAAAACTGCTTTTATATGTAGTTCAGAAAATTATTTTATCTTTATTTTCTTTCTAATGGCAAACGAGTTGGAATGGCGATACTATTGCTTAACATAGAAGGTAATTAGCTATTCCAAACTCCATAAGAAGTAGCAATTTGGAATGGTGATGAAGGCTAACCACTTAGCAATTTGCATATCTGCTGTCTTTGAAGTGGTGTACTCCAAATACAAAAGATAAAATAGCCATTTTTCCAAGATTAACACCTGATGCCCTGTAGAAAGCATGTTCATTTTAACTCTGGCACCTTTCTTGAGTACTAAATTATGATAGTGGCAATAACAGATCTCTAGCCAAAGGCAGGTACAAGGTATAAGAAGAGTGGTGAGTATTTTATTACTTTGCTGTATTTTGCTGATCTGCCAACTTCACTGAACCCTTTGTCTCCTTCCTACATTCATTTCTTCCTTTTTGCATTCCAGAGCTCCCAGCATGCCATGTTTTCTTGCCTTATCTATCTGCCTTTTTCTTGTGTATGTTTTTGTGTTGACTCCAGTTATCTTGATGTAAAAAGTCATTTCTCCCTAGTGCTCTGAGGTGGGCCACAAATCATTCTTGTCCTAGATTCATTCTGTTGCAATAATAAGATACATTTAAATAAACAACTCTATAAGTGCCAAAAGTAATGAAGTCTAGTTTCTTATTGGTTTGTCCTTTGGCGAGATTCTCTACCATCTAACAAGATGCATATTCTGATTTAAGCTTTTTCTTGTGGCTGGGGCACTTCTAATGTCTTCCCCAAATAGGGTGGGTTTTCTGCTGTTTAAGGAGGCTGATCTCATGGAAGTGGGAGCCCTTCTTGAAGAATTGCCCTTTACCTGGGCATGTGGTTTCATGAAACTTTAAGAATATACCTGTCTTTGACTTCTGTTTCATTCTTTCAAGTTGCAATTTGTGAAGGAATTCAAAAGTGATTGGAGGATGAGCAGATACATGCATCATAGGATCATAGGATAATTCAGGTTTGAAGGGACCTCAGGTGGTCTCTAGTTCAACCTCTTGCTCAAAGCAGGGTTAGCTATGTGATCAGACCAGGTTACTCAGGACTTTATCCAGTCTGGTCAATCATGTTCACACCAGCTTTATTTCTTAAGGAAACCATGCTAAAAACAAACAAGATATTAAAATTTAACATCCCCCAGGTATTACATGGTTCTTTCCTTTTGGTATTTCACCTCTTTCTCCTGCCTGATCATTACTTGGGTTAGTAATTGTGATGGCTTGAGTTAAGGTATAGTAGGAGGAAGAACTCCAGCTTGTGGCATGCAACTTTAAAATATGGGGCTGAAAAAAAGTGAAATGTAGTCAGAAAGGCTGTAAAGTCAAGAGGGGGAAATACCTTTTTCATCTCATATCTAGATGCAGCTTAAGGGTTACAAAAAGAGCATGCTTATACCTGTGAGCTGAAAAGACAGCATGAAGACAATTTTTAATAGTTATTTATCAAGAAGCAAGAGTCAACTGAGAGTGTTCAAAAAGTGGAAATGAAACACCTGTAAAGCTAAAAACCATAAGAGAGCAAATAAAATATGAAGGAAAAAAATATTTGGTAGACTGAGGAAAATTGTGAGGAATTAATAGGCATAGGAAGACTTAACATGATAGTCTTTAAATGTGTGTGAAGCAAAAGGCTTCTAACAGTCTGTTGATTATCGGGATATGAGGGGGGAACAGTTCAGGAAGGCAGTTATTGTAGAGAAGCTCAGTTTTCTCTGCTTTGGTTATCTGCAAATAACTGCAAATATTGGGTCTCTTCAGCTCATCACAACATCATATCTATTAACTAAAGTGGTGATGGTGAAAGGAATAAATAAGCTGGAGAGCAGCAGAACACTTAAGATTGGATTTGCACTGTATATGGGGCTAGATGGACTGCAGGATGGATCCAGCATGGCAGTTCATGTGTTCCTTTTAGGTTTTTCTCTTCAGACAGTGAGCTCTAGAGCAGAGTCTGTATCATCCTATGATTTCAGTTACTATGCTTGTTAATAGCACAGCTGGCTATAATATCAACAGAATAGCATGGAGGAGGGGAGTGACACTTGCTGCCTTTTTTCCTGAGACTTTTGTGGAAGTTTCAACAAGAATGGCAGCTCTAATGATCTGTTTAGTTAATCAGGAATGTGTATCCACAGAGGAGAGAGGTCTAGCTAACCATTTTAAGCAGGGACAAGCACTGAAAAGGAGAGGTAATTATTTTTGTTCAGGACCAAATGTGAACTTGGAGGTGAACGGCTTTCACATCACTAACACTGACAACTCTAAGAGCTACCTAGTCCCAGTAGAACTTCAGTAAAATACACAAACCAAGTTTTTTGTGGTGGTTGTTTTTGATCAGATTGTCTTTACCTGTTAATTGCTATTACTGCACTAACAAATTAAAAGATGAGGCACCCCTGTGCTGGGCTAGCAGAGTTGATTTGTACTACAGCTGATTTTAAATGTCTACTCAGCTGTGTAAACATGCATCTGGCAGGAATGGAGTGCATATCCTGAACTAGAGCTTTGTATGGGATCTACTTACTGGCAAATACAGATCCCATTGATGTGAAGTCTGTGCTTATCTTTTCCAAAAAGGTCTTTGGATCACTTATTTATTTGTGTGTGTACATTCTATATCTATATGGCAGGAGTGCCTGTGTTGGGTATTATAACAAAATAGGACCTGCCTCTTGAAGTAAATGATTACTCCTTTTTCTGATGTAACTTTGGTTGCCTTACTATTTAAAAATATCTTGATGTTGCTAAAATGTGCTTTAGTAAAAAATAGTGGGGGGCAATTAAGAGTTTGCATTATGAAGACAGTAGGTCCTATGACTAATTATAGGTTTTTAACTTTATGGTATTTTGATCTAGTCTATTAAGTCTCACTTTCTAATGCTAGCTGCAGTAAATAATATTGAAGTTTCAGCATGGGAAACAAATCACTCAGCTGAGGTTCTTTGTTTGCATTGGCACAGAGTGAAGACAGTTCAAGTCCCAAGAGACAACGCCTTTCTCATTCAGCCTTTGACTATACAACAGCATCACCAACTGCATCACCACCAATGCGACCATGGGAGATGACATCAAATAGACAGCCTCCTTCAGCTCGGCCCAGCCAGCATCACTTCTTAGGGGAACGCTGCAGCATGCCCGCGCGAAGTAGGAGGAGGTAACCAAGCTATTTAGATTGGGGACCAATTTTTTATTCTCTCTGTTGTCAGCTCAGGGGAGGCCTGTTTCAGGTAGTACTGAATAGTATTTATCATATAATAAATACTCTGATGCTTCTTTTGACTTGTAAATTATAAGTGCAACTGAAAACTCTGTACTGAAAGTAATTTGAGTTGTTGTAGCTTCCAATAATTTGTAAGAGTAGAGATGAATTGGGGAGGAGAATGCTTATTAACAGTTTCAGTTATGAGCCAGCTTCTCTCTCTCCCATTCTATGCTGGAGCAGTAAGCATTTAGAAAAATGTGGGGGGGAATAAAGCTCTATTTATTGTCAGGGTACTATTAAATACAATAACATAAATAAAAAATATAAAGTTTTGTATACAGTGTCATAAATGTTCACTGCACTCACAGTTCAGTCCTTGTCTTGCAAACAGTTTAAGTAAAGGTGAGGAAGACCTGTTTGGAGGATACCATAATATCACATGGTTGCTGAGATGGTTGATTTGCATATTGTAAAGATTATGTTTTTGTTCTTTTTTTTAGCTTGTGGCTCATAAGCCTCTCTGAGGCAGAGCTTTTGGAATAAGTTAAATTGGCCATCCAAAGCTCTACTATTCTATGACTATGTTGAACTGATGTCTGGATGAGAGTGTATAGGAAAGCATGAAAATAAAGATATCTTTACTCTTCTATTTAGTCATCCAAAACAAAAGTTTTCACCCCTTCCCCTGCAATGTCTCAGAAATGTGTCCGAGTCATCTAACAAAAGCTTAAAGCTCACTGCCCTCTGTGTCACAGAAATACTATAGCTTGATTTCTACTAAAATTGAAATATTTGTGCTTTTTCATGACTATAAAATGTTAGATGAGGTTGAAAAATGCGTAATTGCTTTTCTTCTGACTCCATAGATGAAGTTTGTCAACCATGATAATGTAGTGTTAGTTTGAGGCAATAGACTTTAAAGTGTGCTGTTTTTTTGTCTATGCTTCAAGTCTACAAATCTGGAAGCTTTCAGTCCACAGCATGAAAATGGTATGGGTGTTTATACAGGTGTCAGACCTAAGAAAGAAATGGGTTTGTTGACTTCTTTCTTCAGAATAACTGCTGTATGTCCTTTATATGGTTCTGTGCAGTGATAACCCATTGATGAATCTGGCCCACAAGGTGTTTTTATTTAGAAATGCTTTGAACTGGGCTGCCCAGAATATGCTGCATTTTACATCTTTGTTTGGCATCTGGCCAGTCTGCACACATTTCCTTGCAACCTTCCATTGCCATCTCTTGCAGAGTAAACAAAGTGTTTCATTAAGCTATGTACAGTATATCCACATGTAGACATTTTGGCAGTATTGTGGGAGGAAGAGGATGGGATACAAGCTGAGTATCCTGGCATTCAAATGCAGTCAACTCTTATCCGGATAAATGGCCAATGGCTTATAGATTAGCCATGTTGCAAGTGCAAAAACGCAAGTATCATCTCAGCGCAGAGCCAGCTCCAGTCTGATGGGGGTTGTTAGCTTGGTCACAGCATTGTGCAGCCACAATGTTGCTGCTTCCAGGGCCAGCTCGGGTACTTTTAGGAGGCACCTGGTTTTGCCATTCCAGGCATTTGAATGTCTCTGGACTGAGTTCCCTTGCACTTGAGACTCAAAGGGTTATTTTAGCTTGGATGCAGTCCTGAACTTGAGCTGGTGCTGGGTGTTCTACTTTTGTGTGCCTGAGCTAACCTACCTTCCGAGAATAGGATCGTTGGGGGAGCACAGTGTATACACGTGTGTGTGTGTGTTCTGCAGGAGTCTACTCAAGTCTTATAGCACTGGTGCTAAGTCAAAGCTAATAGATCAGAGCTTGATTCCTTATTAGGGCTTAAGGTCATTGTGAGTGCATCTATATTAATGTTTTAGTTGAGATCTTTTGAAGTAATTATCCTCATTGTCCCTGCTTATTGTGCCTTGGTTTCTACTGTGGATTGGTCTTGGACCTCATGAACTGGATTTTTTTCAGATAAAGCTAAACTGGAAGATGTACTCCAGCTGCAAATGGACATTCAGTTTGTGGGCTAGTTCTAGTTGGGTTTCAAAGTAAAAGTCCTGAAAATAGGACTATAGGGTGGATATCAGGTCCTCAGTACCAACTTTTTTGCTCTACAGATTCACTACTATTGGTCCACAGTACTTGCTAATGTAGACATAGCCTGCATCTTTGCCATGTTTTGCAGTAGATTTCTGTAGGGTCTTTATTATCTAGATTTTTTTCCATTATGTGGGTTACTGTTTACACTATAACCTCTTTAGATCAGGGATTTTTTGTACTATGCCAAGTAAAATGGGGCCCTAATTTCAGTTGGGATTTTTGGATTCATGATAAGCAAATATTTCATTAAGAACATAGCCTCAATAGACTTTTACATAATACTGCTTATAAGTGAAGTTAATTCTCTTTTCTTCTTGAGAATGTACATATATAACGTACATATAAAGTTGGATCTCCATCACTGCATCCATTCATTGCCATAGGACAAGGTCTTTGCTCTGACTGGAGAGTGTTCTGAAACTGTTTTGCGTTGGACAGCTAGCAAGCAAGTCTTATACTGCAACACCAAACACTAAAAAACAAGGTTCAAAAACATTCTCTCTTGTTCTGCTTTCTGATTTGAATCTGTAGAAGATGCTGTCCCAATGTGATTGTCCTTTGATTCCGAACTTATTTGTATTGTAAGCACAACAGGTATGTATGTGGAATCAAAAAGGACCACTCTGTTCATTCTCTACCAGTCACTGGAAAGTGGGGGCTTCTGTCCTTTTGCTACGCTATGCTGCATTTTCCATCTGTCCTTCCTTTCTTCTTTGCCATAATAGTAATTCTGAATTGAGTAAGAGCATTCAAAAAGCTGCTGCTTCAAAGGATTTGCCTTAGAAAACACTGAGTTCGAGGCTCTTCAGTTATGGATAGCTTGTGATGGCTGTTCCTGCCTAAAGATCATATTCACTATGTGTTCTTCTGTCTGCTTCCATCTGATGCACTTTAACTCAACTAGGCACACCACCTTTTATAGCTTAAATAATTCTGGGTGCCAGGGACTGTTGCTTACTGATTTTATACAACATTAGCACAGTGTTTGGAAGAAAAAACTGAAGTGCAACTTCAACATAGATATTTAATAATTTAGATACAGGTCTGAGTACTCTTCCTGAGTCATTCCTAATAATTTAGACATTTAGAAAGCTTTTAGAGCTGTGTATCTGGATGCTCTGAGTTTTGCTAAATGAAAAGGCTTTTTTTTTTTAATAGCTCTACATAGTAAAAGACTCTTTTGCTTCCAATTTTGCTGCTTTCAGAGAATTTTGTTCTACCCAATCGAGAGGGAAAACATCCCACAAGCAATGTCAAAAATACAACACTACATCCCTCTACTTCTGGAAAGAGAGAGGTCAAAGTAGTTTTGAAAGAAGCTACTCTGTCTAAAGATCAGTGCTGATGGTAATTAGGGAATTTGCTTAATTGTTCTCCCAAAGAAATAGGGTTGTTATTGGTAACCCTCCTCCACTCCTGCAATTCTTCTAAACATTAGTCCTTGCATATATGTCTTATATTGAAAGCATTTGGAGCATATATATGCATCAGATTTCTTTTTTGTAGTAGGAAATAGCAACTTGAAAGCTATAATTGGAATATTCAAAAAAAAACACCAAAAAACAACCAAACAAAATCCCTCATCTACTGCCATAAGTATCATCTGCTCTAAGTTTAGTATCACATAGAGGAAAGAAAATTGACTTAATGCAGAACACTGAACAGGTGGATCATACTAATAATACAGAGAGGGATAGTGGGACAAGAACTCTAGGGAAAGGAAACTGGGAGTAAACCAAATGTATTTTGAAAACACTTAAGATTCTTAAGTCAGGCACTCAGTGCTTAGGCTATTGCTTGTGTATGTATTCTGACATGATAATCTGTAAAGAGAAAGGAGGCTGGGATTTTTTTTTCTGTGTTTTTGTTGGTTTTTTTTCTTTTGTGCTATGCTAAGGTCTGGCCCCAGGCTATCTGTCTGACCTTGGACAAATTACTTAGCCTTTCTGTTTCAGTTTCATGAAAGGCAATAATAGCATAATGTTTCTGTGAACTAGGACAGGAAAATATTAGTTTGAGACACTTCTACGATACCGTGGCAATAGCATATGAACAACTGTAGCAGTATCCATTTTTCCCCCCACCAAAGGAAAAAAAAACCCTATCTTCCTCAATAGAGAAGCTGGATGCAACTTGAGAAATGTCAGGGTTATGTAGTGATTTGCCAACAGGTTTCAGAGTTATTTGATGATAGCAGAGGGAACGATGGAAGTTGAGAATCTTGAGCTGTGCTCCAGGCCGTGTTGGAAAAATGTGCTCTAGTGGTCACAGAACCTTTCTGTTTCTTCCCTGCAGTTTGGCTCATTCAGCCTGCTCTTTACCCAGAACAGCACTTGATCCAGTGTAACTTAAATTATCCATTGTCTGTGGAATCTTTCATTTATTTGTTGTGCCTATATAAAGACAGGCCCAGAGTACAGCTCCCAGAGCACAGCTCCCAGGCACAGCAGTTTGCGCAAAGAAGGGCCTGGCAGCACTGTTCAGACCTCAGCTAGGGTGGTGATGTGCCACAGAGTACAGTCCCTGACAGACATTGGAGCAACTGTCCCTGCAACATCAGAGGCTTCCACCCAGATGGAGCTTCAGAAGGAGGACACAGCTCTGCAAGTCTCAGGCTGCAGGGAGTGCCTGGGGCCTCTCACTGAGATTGGGGCAGATGATCTTTTTGCTCGCAGGAGGTGTGCAGTTGTGGAGGAGCTGTGCTGCCATGTCAAGGATCTGTGGGAGGAGGTCAGCAGATTGCACAGCATCAGAGAGGATGAGAAAGATATCAACTGGGTCTTCTCTGAGACTCTGCAGCTTTAGGAGCTTGAACCTCCAACTGTAGCAGATAGGCACTGACTTTGCCTGCCCATCAGGTC